AGATTGCTCGTCCAGGATGCTGCACACCACTCGTGCCCATGGCTGTTAGTCATGCTGCCACAGTGCCTTCCTATCAGCCTAAGCACTGACCTTTAAGAAGTTATAAATGTTATTTCAGCTTTAATATTCTGGTTTTAATATCTCTGGAAGTGATTAACAGCACTAGCTTTGTCTGTAGGTCCTTGCCTATTTGCTCACCACCTTCTGCTAATGTAACTTAATCATCACATGCTGCAGCACCCCAGGTTTCTATTTCTGGTTCGGTGAGATTGAAGTAGTAATAAGCAGAGCACACTGTGGGTTTCATTGCTCCTGAAAGCAAGAGGATTAAATCAGAGATTCATTTTGTTCTGTGTGTCATCTCTCTCATCTGTACAATGGAGACAACACAGCTATGGCTGAGAGACAGAGAGGCTTCCTCACAACAACAATTACACTCCCATCTGTTAATTTTTTTGTCAGTTATCTTTGCAGTATAGTTGTGAGATTGTTAAATAACCAAATTCGTGTAACTAACAGAAAAGTAATCATGGCAAAGATCTCCAGGAATGTGCCGACAGACAGCAGACATGTTTCCCTGATCCAGACTCAGCAGTCAGCAAAAAGATTTGAAAGACAGGAAAGAGACTAGTTTGGATACAAAGGAGAGGATGGCAGGAACGTTAAGATGACAATTCAAGAAAATTTCTTGGAACAGTCACAAAAATGGAAATCAGCTGGAAATCCATCATTTCCTTGTATAGTGTACAAGAATAATGCTTAGACAGTGAGTAAAGACCATTTCATGACAAAATGTTGCATCACAGCATGAGAAGTCCCAGTCCTTGTGGTGATGCTGACTGTGCACCATTTCCGCATTTTTGTGTCAACACTTACCTTGGAGAACATACAACAGAAATCCACTGGACTTGACAAGCTCCTCCTTTATCAAAGGGCCAGGTCACTCCTCATGGCCTGTGCCCACTTCACCTTGCCTTAAAGGACTTGAAAATTCACCTAACAAATGTGCTGCTTGTTAAAAGCCCTAACATCTCTTTAAGTAAAGACTTCTTAGATAAGCTGCTTAAATTATCAACAAACAGTAACTTTCTTGGTATGTTAAAAAGATTTATCAGCAACAGGAAATATATTGACATGCCCTAGTGCAGGCTCCCTGCACCTGCCTTGCACTGGTGCCGCTGACCTGACCTTCCATGGAGCCAGCTCAGCCAAAGGGAAACACAAACACAGTGGAGGCACGAGCAGTGCTGAAGAGCTGTCACAGTCCATGAACGTGCAGGGACCAGCTGAGCCTCTGTCAGTCCCACCGGGCGAAAATTCCCGTTCCAGGCACAACAAGGCAGCCCCAGCCCATCCCCAAGACAAGGCGCAGCGCTCTCCCCATCCTCTCCCCTGGATGGGGTGACACCACTCGGTAGCGACATCAGGAGTTCGGAACCTGCTAAGGGACAGAGAGAGCTCTTTTCGTATCGCCTGGACGCGGCCAAAGGGAGGGAGGGACGGGCCGGGGGAAACTGAGGCAGCAATTCCAGCACCTTGGAGCGGCTTCCCGGCAGCTCCCAGGCGGCCCCGTGCTGCCACCTGCGGGCAGCGCCGGGAATGACCGACACCGGACCCGGAATGACCGACACCGGACCGGGAATGACCACAGCCAGGAATGACCGACACCGGACCCGGAATGACCGACACCGGACCGGGAATGACCACGGGCAGGAATGACCGATACCGGACCGGGAATGACCGACACCGGACCGGGAATGACCACAGCCAGGAATGACCGACACCGGACCCGGAATGACCGACACCGGACCGGGAATGACCACGGGCAGGAATGACCGATACCGGACCGGGAATGACCGATACCGGACCGGGAATGACCATGGGTAGGAATGACCGATCCCGGACCAGCACTGCCCCTGAACTCTGGCAGGAGCTCCTGCAGGAACAGCAGAGCCAACTTCCAGTCTCAGCTCCTTCTTCTTTTCTTCAGGATTCCTCTGAGGTCAATTCTTCCAAATTTCAGGACGCAGTTCATTCTAATTGACACATCACTTCCGCCAGGTCACGTCACATTTTAGCATCATTGAAGCTACTCCTGTGTCAAGTCTGTTTTATTACAGAGCCTAAATAGTAAAAAAAAACGTATCCAAAGGCCTGGTTTTACTCTTTCTCGGTATTTTATCAGCTGGGTCTGTGCAAAACTGTATTTCCTCACACATTAACTATTTAAAGCATAGACAACTTCAGCTTGCAGAGGAAACTCAGAATGCAAGTTTCCTCTTCTTTCCCAAATAACTGAATTATCTCAGAACACTGTTACATAATGCTACAGAACACTCCATTATTATCTGTTTCAGACATGAATAATTCCCGTGTATTTAACAACTCCTCCACAATTAGTAAATTAAAATATTATAAATTTGGCATCGGTTCAGAATATGTATTGCTTTAAAAGATATTAATACATATCTACTGGTCTAAAATATGTGACTAATACAATGAAATCAAATTATCTTTGTAAAACATAAATCAGAATAGTGAGGCAAGTATTTGCATTTGCATAGTTATGCAAACTCTTAATCATGAAGAACAATCACTGCTGTTAAAAAGCATAAGGCCACTAGCAATGGCTCCTGAGGAGGTCAAAGCATTCTTTCTTGATTTCCAAAATGACACATTCATAGCTTCTAACTACTGAAATAATAATTTGAAAGTTCAGAGATAAAAATATCTTTTATTACTACATTCACATTCCACTCTATGTAGTCTGATTTTCAGATGTCAGCACAGAGTGAGTCAGCTTTGTTATTAACAATTCAAATGAACAATATATATTCAGCAAATTGATCAAGGAATTTAAACAACTTCTAAAATTAATTTTAACCAAGCAATCTGCTGCTTAAAATTTCTAACACAAATGGAAACAGCTCAACAAGAATAAAGTTAACAATATTATTTAAGCAATTATAATGAATAAAAGTATTCTTAAGTCCTGTCACTTGTAAGAACAAATGAACTTCCTGAAATTTTACCAGCATGAAAACAGACACAGAGCAATCAATATGAAACTTTATAAACACTGAATGTAATGGAGGGACAGAATCAAAAAGGAATCTAAATGAATTCAAGCCCTCTGACTTTTCAGAGCTTGCTACCAAACTGAAGGAGGTTTCTGTTGCCAAAGTGGTAATTCCTGTTCATGTGTTTGACTGAGATGATTGATGAAGGTCTTGGTGAGGCCTTTGGTGTGGTCTCTGTAAATGGGATTATTTATTTAAGACGGCAATTATCTGCTGCTAATCCCAACATCCTCCCTTATCTGCCCACTGAGCACAGAGATACTGGGGACACTGCGTGGCACAGAGCTCCTGGCACTGCTTTGGGCCACAGAACAGCAGCTGAATTAAAGAAGTTCCCCTAGAACAGGAATGTAGACATGTCACCAAGCACAGGATAAAGATGCTATGTTAATAAACTAAATGGAAAAAACATAAAGTTTCATTGTTTCATTTTTCAAAGTAAAAAAAAAAGTTAAAAGTTGCAGTTGCTGTGAGCCTGCAGCTCACGTGGGTGCACAGCACAGGAATTCTCTGTCCCTGACCACATCAGCAGAACCTGCAACCACAGCCTGCCCAACCTGCAAACCCAAACCATTTAATACTGGTCAAATTCCACACCATAATGAAGTTAAACACAGATGTTAATCTTGAAATTGGGATGAGGGTTTGGCATTTCAATTAAATTCAGTTGTTACATGACCTAATATTATTAATATTTGTTAGTTATGCTGCTACTTATTTATAATGAAATGTAACATAAGAATAGCAGCATTAAAGATGAATATTTTAAAAGTATTTAAGATTTTATGAGGCTTCCAAGTATTAATTATAAATGACAAAAAAATGTGTGAACAGTGCATAAATGGCAATTGTGATCATTGTAATGAATCATAACAATTAATAGTACTTACTGTAATGACTAGAAATTATTAAGAGTTAAACCCAGTAGTTCTTATAACCTAAGGAAAGTTACAGAAATGTATTTGACAGTTAAATTATTTTCTGATTTTTAAGTATACTATAAACATGAACTTTCCTAAATAGCACAGTTGTGCTTTATTGAAGATCTAATTAAAATCAAAGGCGTGGGTATGGTTTGGATCTGGTGCTAAATGGAGGACCACAAATTTACATGGGAACACTTGCAAGGCTGGTTAAAGAAAACCCACCTGCATTCATTAGATCCCACCTGCATTCAAAAAGAGTCAGCTTAAGGTCACAGAAGGTTTTACACTCCCAGAATTTGGGGGTCCTCCACATTTGTCTGCCACTCTGTTCCTGCTTCATTTTTGTCATGCAGTTGTGTCTGCTCAGCTAACTGAGCTGAGAAATACTCAGACAAAAGATTAGTTTCTAATTACCAGTAGTATGAGGCATAAAAAATGGTGCTTTTCCACAAAATTGTGTCATTCATTCTATTGCATCATGAATTCGATTAGAAACTAGAGTGTTTGCAGAAAGGAGATTTAGTAAATGTACCTTGTACTAAAAAATCATTGCCTTTCATTTGCTCACCTCAGCAAATTACAAACACTGAAATTCAGGCAGCTCTCAGTGATACTGAGGGATAAACTTGCCTCAGATTTGCAATTCTGTAAGTAAAGCTGGAAAAAAACAAATGTAAGGGGAAAAAACCAATCTATTATTTAATAAATAACTCTGAAATTAGCTGATTTTTTGCCATTCTGTTATTACCTGTAAGTAACAAACCAGGTGAAAGTTGCCTCTAACTTTCACACTTTGCAATGGTGTTTAGGTTGCACAGTAGAAACTGAAACAAGGAGAAACATGGGCACAGAAGGGCTTCAACAGCTTCCAACCAGCACCTTTTCCACCTTTCTAAGTGGAGGTAGTTCCACACTTTGAACTGCTCAGTTACAGCTACTGAGGACAAAGACCAGTCTGTCTGTGCATTATTTGTCCTTCATGTTGAGGATATGTTTAATGAGTTGCTTCTGCTCTGTGCTCCCCTGGAGTTGTTGTTTCTGCCCCATCTGAAACAGGAACAATCTCACTGGCACAACGTTCATTTTTCGCAGTAGAGTCACCTGGGAAGAATTTCAGGCCAACTTTAAAAAAAAAAATTAAATATTGGGATGATTAACCAGAAAGACATGTAAATATTTCAATAAATTTAACAAGTATGCAATTTATTTGGTGGAGAAAATGCTGCCACATCTTTTATCTAGCACTTTACTTGGGGAATGAATATATCTCCTGTTGAATATTACATTACAAGCCATGTTACTGAGTTTGGTATTCTCATCAGAGGAAAACTAAGCATTTTTAAACTGGAAACTTAATTATCATATGTATCCTTTTTCTTTTTTAATTATTAGCAACAGCAAATCACTGACAGGCTCAGACTCACAAGCCATCATCTGCAAAGCCACACTGTGGATCCCACAGGCCTCTGCAAGTTGTGCAAGAAGTGGACAGTGATTTATAAATACTTGCAAATGTCAGTTTTGGGGAAAACCTTCCGGACCAGCACAGAAATTTCTAGGTTTTGTGTGAGTCAATTAATGAACTGAATATTTGCATGAACAACATCTGAAGACACATTATCACAGCTCCAGAAAATCAAGCTTTCAGATGAAGGTATTTACAAGATATCAAAAAGAAATTGTTTGCATGTAGGAAAACATTAATAAGCAGCAAAATCTAATTACTACAAAAACATAAACACTGCAGCTGTAACACTTCTCTCTAACCATACCATTACAGCCTCACCAGTGAAAACAGAAGTGTCAATGCTAATGTAAACTCAGCTGCTGATATATATTCATTAGATTCAGAAAAGCTCCAACATTTTTTCTTCTCACCACATCAAATTTTCTCTCAGTGCAGATACAATCTGATACAAAGGGTGAGGTTTAGGGACACCGAGGCCTAAGGTGTGTCTCCATTCTTGTCTCTTACTCCACAAAGATCATCTGAAAGCATTGCTAAAAAGGGGGTTCAGGAACTGGAGCAGGGATGGTACCTGTGCAGAGACCCAACTCACAGGACAAGAATTTCTGACACAATAAAGCCTATTCTCAAATATTCTTCCATTATTAGCTTCACTGTGAAACAGCAATTAAGCAGCAGGGAAGATTCAATGCCTTAGCCTTTTAGTCTTGATTCTAATTTACATGATTAAATCCTAACTTAGTCACTGATTACCTTCTGGCTTAGAACACTTTGGATTCTCATGGATTTTATTTTTGCCTTTGATTCCTTTTCTGGGTGCAGCAGTTTTTGCCTTCACCAATCCACAGTTTTCAGCACGCTTACACATATTACTCTGTTAGCATAATGAAGAACAAATATATCAATCAAATATTAATCCATGTAAGCAATTTAACAGACACAAAGCAAAGATGGCTCTGACAGACAAATGCTGGAACACTAAGTGGAAGACTGACTTAGTTAACAACTTCCATAAAAGTCCTGAAGATTTTCCAGAATATATATTAAAATACTGCTTTAAAAGAACATTGCCATTTGGTGGGTATAAAATAAAATTTATCATTTTCTGGTTCCTGGATAAGCAATAAAGTTTCACATGTAAAATCTGTATGTGGAAAAAGGGTCACATTTACTTTAAAGAGTGCACAGTTAAGCCAAAATGAGAATATGTTCTCATTGCATATGGTTTTGAAGTGAATAATAATTTCTTACTTTCCTTGCTGAATGGGTTCTAGCTGTCCTAAAAGTACTCTTTAAAATAAATTTTTCAGTTCAGACTGAATTTATTCTGCATCACCACTGAAAATCACATTTCAGGCTCAAATGCTGCATTTTGTTCTTTATCACAACATCCCTAAAAGTGACTTCTCTTACATTATATTTCTAAGCAGTCCAATACAAAAGATTTATCAAGAAGATAGACTCATCCTTCCAGCATATCCATTTCAATTTGTGAAAGATTTACCCTGGAAATAAGCACCACTACACTATTTCAGTTGGACTGCAGTCACAAAAGTTTTTATTTTCTTAAGGTACCTATAACCCCAAAGCCAACTGTGTCCCACAACACCAGCACCAGAGTGAGCAGTATTTTCCCAGGAACTGGAATACCTGGTTACATGTGCACACCTGGGCACACCTGAAGCTTTTCTCTCTCCTGTGAGTCTTCCTGTGCTGAAGGAAGGCGTAGCGCTCGTGGAAAGCTGCCTCACAGTCCCTGCACTTCACTGCCTCTTCCATGTAGGAATGCAGATTCCTCAGGTGGACACCTGGACAGGTATTCAAAACAACTCGTTTTAATGGCAAGGGGTTTTTTTTCAGAGTTTTGAACAAGAACTGGGCTGTGTATAACCCTGAGAAATGCAAATCTTGTAAAGGAAAGCAAAAAAGAACCTTCCGTGCCCTCTGCAGTGGGGTAAAATACACAAATTAGTTTAAGATTAAACAAAAGATGCAGCAAGATGTTGTAACTTCCCAAAGAAATCAAGCAGTTATAAGCCTGAATCTTACTGATTTCAGTGGAAATCATTTAACAAATCAAATACTTTAAAAAATCTAGGCTTAACACAGAATTTTCATGTATTTCTGGAAACTTAAAGTTCTATATAGGTTTTTTTGTTACTGGCCAGCTCTATTCCTGCCAACACTTCTTCTGAAAAAACAGAGGGTCACAGTACCACAGGTATCAAGCAAATAATAAAACAGAAAAAGCTAAATATTTGCTACTTTGCATTTTAAACAAATTAAAATATCAACCACAAGATGTCACCACATCTCCTTGCAGGAAGAATTTACCTGTAAAACCACAAATACTTTTTACTTAAACTATTCTGTGATAATATGAAGTCAGCTATAACATATTTGGTGAAATTTTGTGAAAATTAGAGATTTCACCTCTACTTATCTCTACATTTTGCTGTCAGTGTTTTCCTTTAAACTCACCCAAGTCACTTTTTCGGGAAAGGAAAGTACTACAATGTGGACATTGGTGTTTTGGCACATTTTCTCCATGTTTCTGTAACACATGGATTTTCATGGTACCACTCTGAGTGAATCTGGCTTGGCAAACGTAACATTCATAGCGTTTTTCACCTATTAAAAAGAAATTAAAATAAGATATGCTTAGAAACTCTACTTATTTAATATAAATTCAAATTCCCACAGAATTCAACATCCATGTTCTAACAGCAACAGTCTCCGGATCAACCAAAAGTTAATATTAGTTGACAGTGCACAAAAGGCCAAACAAGTCTCCAGAAGTTTACATAACTGATTGCAACACAAAATCTTGGTTTTCTGAGTCCACAAGTCAAACTGCTGAAGCATAAAGCCATTTATATAATTCTAAACTAGGAACCAGGAATTATTTTAAATTATCATCTATTCTTCCTTGAATTCTTCATCTACAAAAATGCAGAATTATCTTCAAATATGCAAGGAGAGAAAGTGAACAGCAGTAAAACATCATGATAAGAGTGACACACCATCAGCCATTGATAATGGTGGGAAGGGGAATTAGGAAATTATTTTATTGCCTTTCTTCCCCAAAAAGCCACATCAGGTGTGACTACCATTAAAAATTACATCAACACTGGCAAGTGGCACAGCTTTGAAGCAACTCCAGTCTGGTTCTGTGGAAGAAGCCCCTGCCAGGAATGGGTAACACTCAAACACTTCCAGTTGGACTCTCATAAAAAAATAATTCAGTTTAATTGCACCAAACTGTCTCAAGATACGAACCAATGCGTGACAAGTGGGAATATTTGGAAAATTTGATTCAAACCATGCTGTCACACTCTGATTCAACCTAAAACATTAATCAGAGCACAAATTACATATCATAATTGAGCCAAGTTAAACCCTGAAGTACAGGATTGATACCCACTGCCCCTGAGATGACTTGCATGTTACAGAGTTATGACAAGAACACACTGCTTCCAATATTAAAGCAATTTAATACTTTGTTGACCAAATTAGTTGCTGGCAATCTGGGGTCACAACAGTATGCATGTTCTGAAAAGAGAGTTAAAAATCTTCATAGATATATCTCCATGTAAAATCAACTAACTGAGAAATAAAAGTGACAACCTGACCCACAGAAAATGAAATATTTCTCTAATATAAAGTAAGTTTAGGAGCAACAGCAAGACGAACTACTGGGCTTCCAACTGCCAAATCCAGAACACTGAAAGAAAACATGTTTTTACTCCAAATCACAAATTAAAAAAGGGTTAATTTCGAGGCCGAAATAAGATTGCTCTAACCCTATGAACATGAAGGAGCTGAGGCCCTGGACTTGATCAGTAGCCCAGCATGCTACCTGTGTGAGTTAACATGTGCCTTTTCAGTTTGCAGGCATCTTTGCTGGCATAGCTGCACAGGTGACAGGGGTAGGGCCGCTCTCCGGTGTGCGAGCGCACGTGGCGTCTCATCTTGCTGGCCTCAGAGAGAAACGAGAGATTTTCTAAAGTAACATCTACCTTAGAGATACATTTCATTAAGATGTAAGCAATTTTACACTTCTAATTGTATTAATCCCAGAATTAGCACTCTCACATCTGTGGTTTTCCCTGCACAACCTGCCTGCTGTGGTTTTGGGACACTTCTGCATTTTTCCCCCATATTATCTTGCTTCCTTATTTAGTGTCCACATTAGCAAAATGGGACATTTTATAATAAAAACAAAATAGATAAAATTTTAAAAAGAGGATACCTACTACTGTCAGGCTACTTGGATATACCAAACATAAAATTCTTTGAAAACACTCAGGAAAATAAATGAAAGACCAAACTCATTATGCAGAGTCTATTCACCTTCAAGTCCCAATGAAGCACCTGAGTTACAAAGTTTAATTCAATTCTACTTTTATTATGCTGTTTTTCTGATATGTTCTACATAAATATTGCAGGTATGTGACTGGGAGTTATCAAATGTTCAGTTCTTCCATTTATGAACACAATTAATGAATTCACTGCTAGATTCCTTCAAATCTGCACTACTATTCACTTAAATAAAATTAAACATGACTGGCAACCTCTGATACACAAAAGTCCAATAATTTGTGTGGCAGTACTGGAGAGCTCTTTCAGCTTTCTTCATTCAGGTAAAGCTTACAAGAATGTGAGTTCTGTAACAGCAGTGAATGCTGAATGCTCCTTATTGAAACAAGGGAAAGAACAGGGTAATTTAATATCAGCTGTCAGGCTTTTTAAGGATGCAAGCTATCAAAAATCTAATTACTAAGATAAGGTGCATGGAATAAAGTTCAGGATTGCTTACAGCTTTAGATCTGGACACAGCACAAATTCAGATATTGAACATCCACTAAACTGTGGTAGTGATTCAATCACAGGTGCATTTCTAAAAGCCTGTGCACCCAATTCAATTAAAATTTCCAACTGCACCCTTAAGCAGACTCTCAGGTATTTTATTCCTGATGAAGAAAATTCTAGTCTTGGAAAAAACTCATACATCATCAAGCATATAAACAAAATACCTGAACTTCTTTTTAGACATTAGCTGGTATTGTCCTACAGTACATGGAATGCAGTGTAAATGAGGACTTTGTAATGCTTTTGTAGGATCAAAATCACACAAACACATTGTCTAGCAGCAATTTTAGCATAACAAAAGAGAAAAAGCTCTTATAATGCAACTAGTTAAAAAAAAATAATTGTATGAATATTAATTTGGACCAACACATTTGCAAATTCTACAGGGACAAATAAGGGTTCCAGGAATTCAGGTTACTTGTTCCTTTTTTACAAGATGATGGGGATGAAAAGATGTGCACACAAATGAAATGTAATGGAATGTATTGCAATGAAATGAAATGTAATGAAATAAATGCATGGCACCACAAAGCTGTAGCCATCAGCCACCTTGCAGTAACACTGCAGCACCATAACAGATAAACACAATCCATCAGTGTGTCCAAGGCCATCAGCAGAGCCTGGACTTCTCACGGTTAAAAAATCTGGGCAAAAACTGTATGTACATTAAAATCCTGGCAGATGAAAACCTTCACACCCCCCCAAAAGATTCAGTAAGGCTGTACTTACTTCTACACTGGAGTAGTCACATATTGTGCACTTGAAAGGCTTCTCCAAAGTGTGCTTGTACCTCCTGTGTCGTGCAAGCTCCCCCCGAGTCACAAAGGCTGTGTCACACTCACTGCATTTATGGGGTTTGTTCCCTGCAGCAATACATGTGAGACTTTTACTCAACACCACAACAAAGTGATTTGTCTGCCTTACATCAACACGCAGAATTTTTTAATAGAACCTTTTCTGATGTTCTGATTTTTTACATACAATAAACCATAAAATGATTTGGGTTGGAAGGGACCTTAAAGCTCACTTTGTTCTACCCCCTGCCATGGGCAGGGACACCTTCCACCATCCCAGGTTGCTCCAAGCCCTGGTCAACCTGGCCCTGGACACTGCCAGGGATGGGGCAGCCACAGATTCTCTGGGCAACCTGTGCCAGTGCCTCACCACTCTCCCAGTAGAGAATTTCTTCCATATATATGTACACAGTGAGTTTATTATAAACACAATTTATCACTTTGCTTCATATGTTTATTTAGCAAAATGAAAACATCACAGAAAATTCTATTCTGCATGCAGGAATGAAGCACAGCTGAAGTCACTGTTCAGCTGACAAGAATTGTTAGAATGGTACTTAACAAAAAAAACCAAATACACACACACAGAGTTCCTAACTACAGACCATGTCTTTTCGTGCGGAACACCACAGAAAATCAGAGGAATTTCCAAGCATAAAATGATCACAGAACACAGCTGTAAGGCAAAGCCACTTGCCTGCTAAGTCAGTTTTGAAGACAGTATGCAACATGAAGCATTTTGAAGCCTTAGGTACCTGTATGTGTGTTCACATGGTTGTGCAGCAGAGCTGCTGTGCGGAAGGCCTTCGGGCAGAGGTGACACACGTGACGTTTCTCATCCGAATGGATTTTCAAATGACGCCTGAGACTCGACAGCTTGGCTGAGGTGAATGGGCAGAAAAAACAGTTGAATTCTTTTTCTCCTGTTGGAACAAAGACACATTTACACTATACATGCAACAAAATAATGACTTTACTCTTTCTAAAAATGGTACCAATTTCTAAAGAGTCCCTCTAGTCTGGGTAAAACTACTTCAAACTTCTACATCAAAGGATTCATTAAGACTTAAGTGATTTGCCCCCAAAATTATGTTAATTGTTAGTGATACAGTTTAGAATCTAATCCCAGGAAACCTAACTCCTACTCTAGCCCTCACTACCAAGACAGGATAAGATTTCCTCTCTAAGTACCATCTTTATAACTTGCAACAAACTTCTTGATAACAACTGTGTAATTAGCACTAAGTAAATTTATGCAAAGATTTGGAAATGGCAGGTTAAGCTATTCCCAGCTTTCTGGTGCTCCTGAATCTGTAAAGTGCCTATAAAGAAATCATGATGTGAAAGCCTCTTTAAAATTACTGGTTGAATTTGAGGGGAAAAGGTCAGTTCTTTGGAGAAGTAATAGAATAAAGTTCGGGGCACAAGAGTAATGAATTTCTTTTGAGAGTAACAAGTTAAGATTAAATGTGCAACACTTTTAGTTATGAAGAAGATTTGAAACTGTGAAATGGCAAATACGTCATATTTGAAGAGTCTTTCCAGAACAGTTGTCTCAGCTCCCAAGTGTGCTCTCTGTAATGATTTTCATGCTGAGACAAAACGCATTTTATACAATGCTTTATACCACACAGAGATGTGCAGATAACACTTCGCTTCAGTAAAAGCAAACAAAACCACTTTATTGTCATTTATTCATTGTGGATTCATGCCCACACAAAGGAACATTGTTAACTTTGTTAAAACTGCTCAAATGGCTTCCTATAAAGGCTGTAACTGAAACAGGGGACATTTACAATTTGTACAGTATCCATAGAGACCCCCAGCCAAGATACCTTAACTTCCAGATACAACACACACATTTACAGACTCAACACCATTGATGTCATCCAATTTTTACAGTACACACACAGTTTCTAGGGAAACAGATGCTTATCTGTTCTCTTTTGAGTCAGTCCTTAACTTCTGTAACATACTTTTAGGTTTCTAACATCTCAAATCAGCCATTTTCTGTTACTCTTATTTAGGCTCTGGGAAAGGCTTTGCTGACAGGTATTGATTGGTAAGTACCCACCACCCTCAGCTGGCAATGTGGAACCACTCTAAGCTCAACCATAAACCCTCAAACAAGAACATTTTGAAGCTGAATGAGTGGGTCAAGACACTAAATAAATTACTAGGTTTATTCAAAGGCACTTATACAATATTAACTTTGAAATCTCCCTGAAGGCTTCAAATACCACACACTGTTCAAAAGACCATTAATTTCTAAATGCCATCCAAAATGTCTCTCCTGAACACAAGGCAGATGACATCAGCCTGAACAAGATCTTCAAGCACTTAGGGCTAAAGGTATTATTTCTTCTTCCAAATTTCCACAGAATGTTAAGACTTAACCTAATCTAAACAATTACCACTGTGAGTATTTAATGCAAAACTTCAACCTCAGTTCAAAATCTTACTTAACATGCCTTATCTAGAAATTAATTATGAAGATTATTAATTTTTTACCTTTATCCTGATGTGGAGCACAAGCCTCAAATTTTAGATTCTTGAGATTTCTTACAGCTGTTTGTTCTGATGCAGTTGGATATTCCTGCTCTTTACTTCCATTGAATAAGTCAGACAAATCATCACCCCCTTTGCAGCTCTGACTCTTTGCTTCCCCAACAGTGGAAAAAACTTCCTTTCCTTCCCCCTCTTCAGATGGGCTCAGTTGCTGGATGTTATTTTCAAATGTAATGGTATCAATGTCTCTGTCAATCTATTTTTAAAAAGAATGTGTTTTACAGCTTTCTCAGTTAAAGGCAATAGCTAGTGGCAAATCAACAGAGCAGTCAACAAAATGCAAGCCACCAATTCATTCTGATTTTCAGTCTTACATGTGATGGACAAAATTTGCATTTAGCATTTACATACATTTAGCCTAACTGGTTACAATTAAGTAAGAATAATTACTAAAATTATGCCCTCCCTCTTCAAAATTTTATATAAAATTTCAGAGCATCATTTTGAGATTGCAGCACTGAGAACACAGAAACGCATATCTTTATTTTTAAAAGAAAATATTTAAAATTTCATTTCAGTACTTTTAAAAGGAAATGAGAAGTTTTTGGAATGGAAAAGCTCTGTTTTTTAACAAATTTAGGACTTCTGCACGCTAATTGTAATGCCTTCTTTGTTGTATACCAATTAACCAGGTTGTGATACTTCTTGCATTATCTAGACTCAAATATGGCAACATGACCTACCTCAGAAATTATCTAGTGGTATTTAATTGTAAAATAATTATAATAGCTAGCACAGAACAAAACAGGAGTGTTGCATGTCCTTTTTAATAAAATTAATTTCAAATGGGACTGTATTACATAACCAGCTTTAACAATGACTGAAGGATTGAACTAATTGAATTAAGGAGAAAAAGAGAAATTCTGTAATGCTGCTTAAGAGATGGAGGCTACCAAACAAATGGTAGCAAACTGATGAACTAAGTTAAAAACTTGTCTGAATTTCAACAGTTAAATATCATGTCACTATCTCCTTGATAATCTGGGTCTCTTCCAACTCAGAATATTCTCTGAATCCAGAAAGTCTAAACTTCTAGTTTGCCCTTTTAAAAATGAGATGAAATTGTAAAAAGATGTATAGGGGACTGGATACTTAAGCCAAATAAATAATATTAATGCTTAATCCAGAACCAAATCGGTGTGACAGCGGAAGCTAACAGGGAACAACATATGCCTAATTTGTACCTCCATCAGGAGTGTGTCTGCTGGTTTCTCTGTCGCCTTGCTTCCCGCACTCTTTCCTTGCCCTTCTTCTTGCATGATATGGATCCGCGCCAGCTCCAAGTCATGGAACACGCGGATGCCGTCCCGCGGGGTCAGGGCCATGCCCGGGGGCACCGCGGCCTGGATCAGCCCGGGCAGGGCTCTGTGGGCTCCCTTCACACACCCCGGCTGTAGGCTCGGTGTTCTTCACCTCCTGGGACAGATCAGGGCGCTGTGGGCTCCCTTCACACACACCGGCTGTAGGCTCGGTGTTCCTCACCTCCTGGGACAGAGATCAGGGCGCTGTGGGCTCCCTTCCCACACACCGGCTGTAGGCTCGGCGTTCTTCACCTCCTGCTCCTGGGACAGATCAGGGCTCTGCGGGAGCCCCTCACACGCACCGGCTGTAGGCTCGGTGTTCCTCACCTCCTGGGACAGATCAGGGCTTTGCGGGAGCCCCTCACACACACCGGCTGTAGGATCGGTGTTCCTCACCTCCTGGGACAGAGATCAGGGCTCTGCGGGCTCCCTCCCCACACACCGGCTGTAGGCTCGGTGTTCCTCACCCTCCTCGGACACAGGGCCGCTCTGGCGGACGCGTGTCCCGCTCGCACTGCGCCCCCCGGGCCGCTCCTCTCCTGCGCTCGGGTGAGCCCGGCCTCGCCAACCTTTCCGCTGCAGCCCAAAGCCCCGCACGCTGCGGAGCGATCCTGTTCGAGGTTTAACACGAAGGCAAACCACAGGCGTTCAGGACCAGCCCCAGCCCTGCTCCTCGCCCGGCTTCCCCCGGCCACAGGCCCCTCTCGGCCGCTGCGGGCGGTTCCCCCGCGGGGAGCTGGGTCCCTCCGGGCTGCTGGGCCGGGGCCCGGGCTGCCCCTCGAGGGGAGGCGGCAGGGAAGGGGCTCAGCGCCTGCCGCGCACCCCGGCATGGCCGTCTCTGCCTCCCTGGGCCGCTCCCTCAGCAGCAGCTGGTGTGGGAACCCACTCGTGGGTAGTTTCTAGAGAACAGCTGCTTCTCACCTGTTAATTCCCTACAAAACACAAAGGCCCGAACCTGCAGAGGTTTCCCTCCCAATGCTCCAGGTGCCCGGTGCTCCTGGATCCCCCCACACAGCAAGTCCTGTCAGAGCAGCTGCCGTTTTCTCACCCTCTGAGCTAGCAAAGATGAAGCTCTCTCACCCTTAATTGTAGGCCCTTAACCTTCTGCTCCCACTTTGCTGGAGACCACGGTGCTGAGCTCAATTGGTTTCTCCACTTGGGAAATATCTGAAGCACTTGCCGTGTTTCTGTGGCGGAAAGCCTCCAGCCGGGAGCCCGGTGCTGGAGTGCTGCTGAAGGGCCGCCTCACGCTGCCGCCGCAGAAGTGTTGTACAAAACTGGCTCAAGTGGCTTTGCAGAGGCAGTGGAGCGATGTATAAGCATCGTTACGCTGTACCTTAGGCCAGGATTGGTTATTCAGTGAGAATAAGTTGAAATACTTCTTTCTCCAAAGGCATTGTGAAAATGTCTTTGAGGTAAACTTGCACAGTTTGAGTGACTGAACATTTAATCTTGTGTACCCTTCTAGACTAGTAATTTCCAGCCATCAAACATCTTATAAAACCCACTGACTTTGAATGCTCTATTATATGCCATTGCAGACGATAAATTTGGAGCTTTACATCTAAATATTAGCTCTGTGCATTGCAGGGTACAGTACATTGCACAGGGACTGCAGCGCAACGTGGCCCGGATCCTGTTAAGCTGAATTACCAAACACTAATCAAAGCCCCAAACCAAGTGGTGGCTTTCCTTGTCTGTAGAAGTAACCCAGGACAACTGGCATTTGTGAAATATCTGTAGCACAAACAGCAGCCCACACCACTGGCCTTTGAGCAGCACCCTCCGATGAGGTGGGGTTATTAGACCTCATCCTCAGAGACATCGACTGAAAATCCCATAAACGCCCTTGACAACAACCACTCCTATCCACAGTTCTGTAAAACCTTAAATGCAAAAATAATACAACATGTTTACATTTAACAACTGCAGCTTAGTCATAACTATTCTACTGCTTGGATTCAACACAAATCCAAAGCAATTATTTAAGGCTGAATATCTATTCCAGCAATTTAGTGATGATATTTTGGTTAGACACCACATTATTCATCATCCACAAATCCACAGGCTCTCAAAACTAAAGAACAGGATGCAGAGTACACAGTATATTCACATAATTAGGCTGCTGGCAACTGTGGCCAGAGATTTTACTTCTTACACATTTCTAGATCTTTTCAAGTTGCACCATATATTATGATAGTTGAAGGGCACTGTAGGAAAAAAGTTATAATAACACACCATCCTTTAGGTTGTTTTAATGAGGTTTTCTGCACTTCAGCAGACAGCAACTTCTAAGAGCTGTCCTGCCATGCACTTCTGCATTATTAATACCAGCACCATCCATGCAGCTACAGTAAAGGTCTGTCATTATTTCCATTATTAACCGATATTTCCAAGGATTTATAGCTCAAATGCAGAATAGCCCTTCAGTTCATTTTTTGCTGAATTTAAAGGAACCACTTGGATCAGCAATCTATGAATTCAGCCAGTTTCTGAGTAGGTTTTGACACACTAGAGGTTAACAGCTCCATAATGGCCATTATGGTGTGTTGTGTGAACAGTCTCCAGTTACTGCTGCTGCTGCATTCTCTATCTCTAGCTGCAATCAAGCTTCTACCCACTCCTCTGGGAGTCTGATTCTATCTAACACATCAACATCCTGCATGAAAAGTCTATCACGAAAGAATAGAGATGTATTTTATATTTTAAATCATAATTATACTTTGGGGGGTAAGCGTTCACAATGAATTATTGTTTGTTAGGGGTATTTCATAAGGAGCAAAAGGAATTTAATGTAGGCACATTTTCTTGTGCTAAAGTAACATTACATAAAGAAACAAAATTCAGCCACAAAATTGCAGATAAATTACTGATAAGAATCTACCAGTGCATGAAAGTGAATACATGGACAAGTAAAATCCTCAATCAGCAGAGTAAATTTCCTTGGCTGCACTAAGGAAACACAGCAAACTTTGTTCTGATCTGTGGTTTTCCACCCAAGTATAAACAGTGCAGCTGATTTTTTAAAGTAAAATACTGGGTTATCTGCTCAGATTTTCAGTCTTAAAACTGAATAATGTCTTTTATAATATTTAAGATGTTTAATGTGTGTTAGGTGGAGCTGACTTTTTTAAAAGCTCCATTGCCATATACATAAAGCATATTTGACCTTGAATGTAGTTCAAGGTTTGCTTCCCTTACTGTGTTTCAGAAACTCACTTTGGATGACTGCAGAGGCTGTTTATCCATCCTCTCTGGTGATGCTTTGCACCTCCATCACAGGTTCTAAACTGCACTCCTCCGATGCCAATGGAAGGATTGCCATCAATTTAACAGGGCTTGGAATTAGGCCCAGAGTAGATAACTATGTGAAGCAACGACAGTGGGATTTATTTACACATTTTTGACCTGTCCACAAACTGTAGAGTAAATCAGGAATGCTGCAGTGCACTTGAAAGAGAAAAAGGAAAAATAAAGAGACCAAAGCATAAAACCCCAAAACAAATAGGTTCAAATTTAACCTCCAGTGCTCATAATTGTTTCATTTATGACACTCTGCCTTGTAGTTGAAATCTCCATTCTTCTCCAGAACATGACTCCTGTTAGTCTAGGAGAAAACCCAGTCTTTGTTGTGACTTATTTTGACAGCTTTAATATAATTTTCCACCTGGCATCTGGAAAGTTTTCCATTTTCACTTTCCACCAATGTCTCACTTTTGTTTCCAAGTATGTGTCGCGTTCACACCGCACCTGTCAGTGGTGTGTGTGCCTTAGCACCAGGCTGCAAACACACATGCCTTCCCTTTCCTCCTACCCCAGGGACAATCACTACCTTCAGCACCTCTTTTGCAGTGAGATATTGCCCCTCTTAATAATGACAGCACCACATAACCTCCTTCACACCATCACCTGCTTCAGAGAAAGCGGAGATACTTTTACAATCTTCTAATTCATCTGGCTCCTTTAAATGTTGCTCAGGTCTTGAAGCTGTCACTAAATGGTTGAAGTCTTTTTGCTGTATTTTCTGATGCTCCTTGTTTCTTTGGTGTCCCACTTTCACAAATATGAAGCATTTCTTCAGAGACCACCAAAAACCTTAATTAAAAAAAAAAAAAAAAGCACATCAGCTAATGAGTGAGATAAAAAGTTATGTTCTTTTTGATGCTGTTCTAAGCAACTGAATCTTGCAGATTCAGAATTAAGTCAGTGCTTCAGTGCTGGCCTGGAATATTCTCAGGAGAAAATATACAGTTTGATCACTTGGAAAGAAGAATATTATTAATTTTTTTATTTTTTTCCCCTAGACCTCTGGTTCAGAGATGGAAGCTACAGTTTATTTTAGCAGACATCAGTTAGGATTTGGATCTGACTTGGGTTTCTTGCCTGCCCCAAAGAACACAATTCTCTGCTCCCTATTGCTACAGTCATATAAAAAACTAGTCAGACCTCAGACCCAGGAACATCAGAACATACAGTCCTACTTGTTTCCTTGCTGAATCCCCAAAGCAGAGAGAAGATGGGAGCACAGCACAGCAAAGCCAGATGGAAATCATGCTGGAGGGTATTGATTGACTAGTGTCTAGGCAAGCTATAAATTACCACTTCTCATGCAAAGAGGAGGGTGAGCAGAGCTGCAGAGCTGTCTCAGGGCACAGTGCTTGGACTGTGCTGTTCATGCAGGATCAGCTAAATTTGGGTTGTGCCTAAGGCACAGGGAAAGCCAGGCTTTGCTCTCTCTCCAATGCTCATCTTGACTTGGAGGAGACAAATCATTTCTGTAAATATGAGTGGTTCTTGCAGCACAACAAAAGCAACTCCTATTAAGTTAAAAGACTTAATGCTTTTAAGTATTGTCTATGCTCTTAAAATCCTGCTCCATACTGTAAATTATTATAATTGTATAGCAGGACAAAAAACCAAGACCTAATAGAGTACAGATGTGGGATATATAAAAGGGGAAGTATTTAGCATAAGCTTATTGGAGCTGAAAGTACCAGGGATGATTGATTGCTTAGACACAAGTCAGGGAAGTGGTCTAAAAATTATTAACCATAATTGCAATTTGTCTATTAACTGTTTCATCTAACATTATGATATATTTAGAAACAATCCTGCCATCCACTAATACACAATTTGCTCCTTGTGGCAAACAGCAGAGCTGCGTGCCTGGATCTGTTTGGAAGAAGGATGTTTATTGAGAAGCATATCACTTATTCCATTTCAAAAGACATTAGTGTGGTTATACAGTTAACTACACCTCAGTGACTTCCACTGTTTTTACAGAATACTCTTTAATCCAAAAGATAGCAAAGAAAGTTTTTAGTACAACTCGCCTTAGTTAGTTATTACAGGTTTCTGTTGCTGTTTGTGCAAGGGTGGAAGAGTTAAAAGTTTAAAAGGCAGAAAGTTTTCCTCTTGTTTTGACTAAACTGGGGGAAACGTGCTGGAGCTGTGCAGAATTTGATTGCCAAACACAGATAGAAGATACACAGTGAGAAAAGATAGTAAAGGTTTAACCCAGCTGATGTAAGAAACAAACTCCAAGGATGCCCATGTTTCCTTCTTTTATCGCACTGTTAATCTTTAATCAGGAAAACAGTTCTGAGAACAGCTCTTTGTGCACAGCTGAACAGACACCAAAACTTGGAAGTTAATAGGATCACTGAAGAATGAGACTATTAAATGATTTTCCTAATAAATCTGTGAGTGAGATGTACAAACCTGGAGGAGTTCAAATTCTGCTTCCACGTGGATGTGCAGCAAGTACAGGTTAAACCCTGCAAAATCAGCAGTAAGGAGACGATTGGTGGGTTCAGAAGAGCAGTGGGTT